TTCAAACTCTTTTACCTATTTTTCTATGATTGGTGTACTGTTCTGATTTAGTTCTATTGTTTGTTTCGTGTATGATTGTGTGGATGCTTGTGTAGTGCTTTATGATTACGTCCAGTCGGTGAGATATACGTGGTGATCAGGAAGAAGAAGAAGAACGTTGAAGGTTAAAGCTTACCGAAGGATCGGTGTTTTAAGTCAAGTATAGCATGAGATCTTCCTTATTGTCCTATACACCTTTAATCATTTAATTCATGCTGCATGTGTCTACCTTGATTACCACTAAGGATTTTCTAGTACTTTGTTACCTTGTTCCTTGATTCCTATGGGTTATTGCATTGGGTAATATGATGCTAGTGCTCAACTAAAGCCATGATCTTGTAACTTGACTAATGATATATGCAATAAACATTAAAAGATACTTTTTAGCAACATGGAACAAGGGGGCTAGAGCATTGGGCTATTTTATGGTGCTCTAGATTCTTCTCCCTAAGAACTTATCTGTAAGTGATCATTCGGGACTTACAGTACAGCTGTGAGGGCTATATGGCTCTAGCTTTAGCTCAGTATGAGGACCTTTTCTAGCTTATTAGTGGTTATCTTTATTGGCATAAGAATGGCTTGCCGAATTGGGTATAGTGCGGCCTCTGTCCCCTTATGTATAGGCCGCGCGTCATTGTGCCATTGGGAAGGAGGGCTCTACATCTGTTTGCCGAGTAAATCTAATGGTCCTAACTTGTTAGACGAATCTTTGAAAGGCTTCATAGTGAACCCTGCCGACCTTCCTTGGTAGTGGGTCAAGAGGTTGATCACCTCGGGAGAAAGGGTAAATCACGACTCATAGTGAAAGTGTACAACCTTTGCAAAGTGTAAAACTGGTATGTCAGCCGTGCTCACGGTCACGAGCGGCCTTGGAACATTTACGGAATAGATGATGAACACTGATGATACTAATGATAAAGATGCTCACTAATGATTATTGTTTATGCTATTCATTATTTTTGTTTATCTGATCATGTGTTTATGGGCTTTTGATAAACTTGTTGCCACCCAATTGCTAAAAGATGACTCATTAAAAGCTAATCACAGTTAAACCAGTGTCAGCCTTTTGAGTCTCATGAACCCCATGTTATATTTGTTGAGTACGACACGTACTTACGCTTGTTTTACTTTTTAAATCTTTGGAAAAATCCCGGATGGGTACCAGATTGCTAATCTGAAGGAGTTAGGCTTATGATCAACCAGTCAGTTGTCCCTTTGGAATTAGAGTCTTCACCCGAAGATCGGAGTTGTCTTTTCGCTGTTTGCTGTCTAAGGTTATATCCTTTATACTAAGTATGTTATATATTAAGCATTGTCTATTGATATTACCTTTATTTGTAGCTATATATGAGATTTGACTTCCTGGGCTCACATATGGTGTGTATTTGGTTGTCCTTAAAACCGGGTGCTACATCGAGCGACATCGAGGAGATGAGAACATGGTATCCCTACCCCTAGGCCTTCCTTGGTGCCCCGTGCTCCCCACCCTACAGATCTCTGCTGCCGCCACCATAGTGGGGACCAAATGCAGAGGGGGCGGATCAGATGGCAGCACCAGGAGGGCTAGGTTATGACTACATTCAGGTTTTAGGTTGTCATAGTCATATATATAGGTCTATGTTCTGGTCTTTGCAAGTGGGCCACATTGGCTAGAGACACTAGTGGGCTTTGTAGGTGGGCCACATTAGAGGTGTTGTTCGATCTGTATGGCGGGGCATGTTCTCGGCGAGGAAGGGAACAAGTGAAAATAAGGAAGCTTGGGCCATGGTTTCTCTAATGGCCCACAAGGAATTTCAAATAAGAAAGCCAACTTTCCACAAAAAGAAATCCCAAACACCAAGCTTCTAAAAAAAAGAGAAAATCTATTCATCAGATGGAACATGAATCCCTAATTGTGAATCAAGAGATCTGTTGTGGAATCTGTAAGTTAAGTAAACTAATAATATTAAGAACTGGATCCTCTAACACCAATAAAAAATGAAATTGGATTTTTGGGTGAATTTTGGAATAAAAGATAAATAAAGAATTTAATTTGAAAAAAATCTTTCTATTTTGGATAGTAGCTATTTTTGGCGGAACTTCTTAACTTTATACAGCAGAATCATCTGGTTTGGTAGTTGTTCATATTCAAGCATGTTTGAGGACAGTTGAATGCTGTTCATCGTTGGTTGGACCATGACCTCATCATAGTATAAGTTATTTATTTATTTACTATCAAAAGTTTCTATGCGTTACAACAGAACCCAATACATCTTAAAATCGAACTCCATATTATCGGTAGACTTGAATTGTTATAACTCGTATGAGCATGGGTCTTAAATCTTGGTCACATAGGAGGCACGAAGGATGAGACAGCCTTTGGAAAGTGAAAAAAAAGGACCCAAGAATCACTTCTTTCTTTAATATTATTCTATACTACAAAAAATATCTTGCATCATCTGTTTAACTTTTGGAATCAGACTCTGTATACTGCAGTTTATCCTGCGCTATTCTAACTCATATGGCATGGGCCCTGTGTTCAGGTTATACACAAGATAATAAACCAATTATGACTCTAATTTCTAAATTTGTACTACACTCTCAGTAAAGCTGGCATGGACTTTTATACGCTGGAGAGTGGAGGGGCACGTAGACACGGAGAGAGTATGTGATGAACCAATTAATTGGAGGAAGAAACTTTTGCTCTTTAATATTATACTAGCAAACATGCTAGCATTTGCAACAAAATGTACATCATGTATCATCTGTTGCAATACGTCTTTGAATTAGATTATATATCGTTTTTTGGATGCATTATTTTAATTCGTATGAGAAAAGATCGTGCATTCAGATCATGAACAGAACATTGAATAAATTAAGACTCTTATCTCAAATTCATCATGTACTGCAACTCTTAGTAAAGTAGGGGGAGTTGAGGGATTGATGGACCAAGATTGAGTGTGACAGACAAAAATTTGGAGGAGGGATTTTTTTTACACTTTAATATTAGATAGTATAGATATAGATATAAATTAGGCGTAGAGCAGTATACGCGATATAGATATAGATAGAATAGAAGATAGACATTCCCGTTCAAAATTGAATTAACCAACATTCTATATTAATGAATGGGAGGAATACCACACAAAACATGGATAATTTCATAAATGAACACATGTATGCTCTGCCGCAAGCAGCCATTTCAACTTTCTTCAGATCTTACTTACAGTCATATCAGTGCTGCAAGCAGCCATTTCCACTTTCTCTGTGCTTTTTGCCAGCGAAATACTGAGGAGCCAAGATGTCAGTATTCATTCTTGCAGCTTTTTAATTACAAATTTTCATTAACTCAGGAGCCAAGAATCCGTTCTAAAAAAGTATCATTATCATTTTTTTCGAGAAGTCTCAAGACTTTCAAATTTGACCAAATATATATAAAAAATATATTAATATTTATGATGTAGAATTAATATCATTAGATGAATCGTTAAATATACTTTTATAATAAATTTATTTGAAGATATAAATATTCCTAATATTTTCTACAAATCTAGCTAGTCAAACATAAAAAAATTTAACCAGAACGAATCTCATAGCATCACTCTCTTTTTTTTATGGAGGGAGTATATTTCAGCGCTGATGAAGTCCACGAAATGCATATAGGGTAGGTTGATGTAGGGCAAGATTACGGACAAGGCCAATGGACAAGCTAACTAATTTAGGAGGTGTAGGATCCGATTAAATTAACTAATGCTAAATAATGTCACATCAATCATGTACAGTTATACTAGTTTGGCAAGGCCGTAAAGAGTCGAACGAGCATTGTCTGATATATACTACAGTAGTGAGGTGAGTTTTACTATTGCCGAATGATTTTTTAGGGTCGAGGTTGAGGGACTGGGATGGCTGGCGCGTTGAATAGAGTATACTAGACGCTGTAACACATCTATTATGCGATGCAACAGGGTGCATGCGAGTTGTGACTTGGTTGGGTTGTAACTATGTTGTGAACCGTTGGATCTGAGTCTAAAATGTGCCCAGGTGCTGGAGTCTGTGAACCAATAGGCTTGTAAGATGTAAGCGGACATTATCAGTTAACCATGCATTCCTTCTTCCATGCCTGAAAACTTAGATGCTGCTTGTCTGCTAGGAACTTCATTCTGTACTTGCATTCGGGCCGGCACCCAAAACCCAGATCAGCGTTGCCTGAAAAAAGGATGAAAGGGACAGCAATGAGAGGAAAATGGACCATGGGCCATCCATAGACTGGCTTTGGTGTTTTCTGGCCTGAATGGTCAGAGATAGAGACTCTACTACTTGCAGCTTAGAATTCCTGCCTCGCCGTGTGGAAAATGGCAGCAGACAACTTTGTTCTGTGACCTTCCGTTGCTTTGGGGGACTGGACTTGGCCAATTGTTTGAGTAATAGAAACCTTGTAATTAATAAGGGAGAAACTGAAGGAGCAATTTGTGCGCAATGGTCATCTAACGTTTTCTGTAATCGTTCTCCATTGTTGGATAACAACAACTGCAGACTTAGAAGTTACACTTGGATATATATTCCCAATAGTAATGTATATATTCATTTTTATCTTCCTGTGCTGCATACCTTTCTATTACTGTGTCGGGAAACTAAATTATGATGCCACATGGAAAATGGAACAGGTCCACGCACTGCACATGGAAACGGAGCATGCAAGTGAGAGCTTCTCTCTTCTGCAGTCTTTGACACCACCGATCGACCAATCTGCGGCGTGTAATTAATTTGTTACAAGAAGCAAATTCAACATTATTTATCTTATAAATCTATGGCCATATACACGATATATTATTCTGTCAAAGTTAAAACACTTGTTACACGTGACAACGTAATAGCAATTCTACCTCTTTCATGATGTTTTAACCTTTTCGACATCATAAGAAACACATAATTTATATATTCGTACAATGAACATATCCTTGTGAAGAAACTAACAAAGCATGCTATATAGTACGCTTCCTCTTCGCAGATCTAGCTTCTATCTCTCGGGTCTCACAAGTGTGGACATAACTATAGTAGGGTGGTATAGGAGACCTCCATGATAGCACCTCAAATTTTCCATCAACCTTTACACTTCCGTACATTACATCTTGGATTTTCATCGTCGGAACCTCTTCTTCTGAAAAGCGTTGATACCGATGACCAAGCACAATCTCTTGAGATGATGTACTCAATCTCATAATAAGTGCAGGCCTATTCTGGTTTAGACGATCACACGGATGCTCATCAAATCTGGAGAAATGGATCCGATGATACCCTCTCAAGAAAGCAAGAATCTTGCACCAAAAATGGACGTTGAAGTTATCCCTCAGCAAAGAAGCAAGGATGTTTGCACCAATGTAGGATCTTCTCACCATCCTAGCTATTTCCATAGCCATGTGTGTGAGCCTTGGGTGCATCTTAGGATCCATGCTTCCAAACGTAAGTGTCTTGAAGAAATACCAAAATGCCTCATGGGAGAGATACTTCATAGTTAGAGTTTGTGCTGTTCCATATTTAACAATATTTTCAAACCGGCTTGTCACTATGATTTTACTACCCTTTGGTGCATACTCTTTAGAAGTAGAATACAACCTACTCCATGAATCTTCATTAATATCCCCAATTAACTCAATAACAATGAGCAGCCTTCCTTCCAAGTTTGACTCAGATACGAGATTTCGATGTTTGAGTTCACATTCATCTTTAAAAGCAGCTAGGTCGTCATCTGCGAAACCCTGGATGTGAAAGTATAAGATTCCTGAGAAATGAGCACGTACTCTTTCATCCTTGCAAACATGAGAGACAAGGGTGCTCTTGCCGACATGGCCTGCTCCAACAATCGGCATCACATCCAGGTCCTCAACACTATTAGGTTGTTGGTGCAACAAGAAGTTGATCACTTGTTGTGCTTCCATTTGGCGGCCAAACATGCAGTAGGCCAGTTGGAGATGCATGCTGTAAGGTTGGCGATAGAGGCGAGGGTAACTTGTCAAGAACAGGACGAGCTCATTCGCATCAACGATCATGGAGCTTAAATTGTCAACCATCTCTTGAAGCTCTTTCAAAGCCAGACCATCACCTCTACTGGACAGACATAGACACTTTACAGAATTTACTATTGATAGAGATGAAGAGTACTGTCTCATAACCTGATCTTTGGCTTCCTCCTCGTTGTTAGGTTGGTATATGTAGGTGTCGAGCATGTAGTAACCTCGGTGCACGGCATCTCTTAGCATGCCCAGCTGGATGATCATAGCTTGGTTTGTGATGTGCCGCCCCATGGCCTCATCAATGATAACTTGTGCCCTGAGCAAGACCTTGTGGAGGCGATCCTTCACGTCGAACAGAGTCCTGTTGGAGACTTTGCTGGTGAAGAAATTTATGGATCTAGATGTGAGATCACCAAGAACTGAAGAGAGGAGAATGTCCATTTGGAGACACACGCTCAGGAAAGAAGGTGTAGGAGGGTGAGCAGGAGCTGGGGTTAAATGATCGAGTTGTACTAAGAGTAGCTCCACTAATATTAATGGTTCAAGGTTCATCAAGCAGTAGGTTGGTCCAGTTCAATTTTCCATGCACATGTGGTGACCATATCCTTCCAGATCGTTAATTAAGCAGTCCAAAGTGCCGTGTGTTTTTCCTGTTTCTCCGTTTTTCTATTGCAGCGTTCAAAATTGGTGGGCATTGAGGTAGAAATCGTACCCCTGGGTCAAGCTGAACCAATTAAAATAGTAAAAAGCTGGTGATTCACAATAGAAGATTGCTGGTATAACGTTAGAAATCTGTTAGCTGAAGCGTTGCTTTTGGCAAACTGTCTAGACTATGGATTAAAGTTAGTAGTAGTTAAGTCTTTTTGAGTCTTACTAGTTAGTAGTGCTCAATCGTGTGTGTGACGCTTATTCAAAGAAAAATGAAATCATGTACAACCAGAAAGTTTAAGTCAAAACCATGCACTACCACTTTTTTTTTCTCTGAGCACGCTATATATCCAATTTTTTCTGCAAAAAAAAGTAAAGAGGACAATATATCAGGGAGGGGTACTCACCAAGAACTGAAGAGAGGAGAATGTCCATTTGGAGACACACACGCTCAGGAATGAAGGTGTAGGAGGGTGAGCAGGAGCTCGGGTTAAATGATCGAGTTGTACTAAGAGTAGCTCCACTAATATTAATGGTTCAAGGTTCATCAAGCAGTAGGTTGGTCCTGTTCAGTTTTCGATGCACATGTGTTGACCATATCCTTCCAGATCGTTAAGCAGTCCAAAGTGCCGTGTGTTTTTCCTGTTGCTCCTGTTTTCTATTGCAGCGTTCAAAATTGGTGGACATTGAGGTAGAAATCGTACCCCTGGGTCAAGCTGAACCAATTAAAATAGTAAAAAGCTGGTGATTCACAATAGAAGATTGCTGGTATAACGTTAGAAATCTGTTAGCTGAAGCGTTGCTTTTGGCAAACTGTCTAGAGTATGGATTAAAGTTAGTAGTAATTAAGTCTTTTTGAGTCTTACTAGTTAGTAGTGCTCAATCGTGTGTGTGACGCTTATTCAAAGAAAAATGAAATCATGTACAACCAGAAAGTTTAAGTCAAAACCATGCACTACCACTTTTTTTTTCTATGAGCACGCTATATATCCAATTTTTTCTGCAAAGAAAAGTAAAGAGGACAATATATCAGGGGTACTCACCAAGAACTGAAGAGAGGAGAATGTCCATTTGGAGAGACACACGCTCCGGAATGAAGGTGTAGGAGGGTGAGCAGGAGCTGGGGTTAAATGATCGAGTTGTACTAAGAGTAGCTCCACAAATATTAATGGTTCAAGGTTCATGAAGCAGTAGGTTGGTCCTGTTCAGTTTTCCATGCACATGTGTTGACCATATCCTTCCAGATCGTTAAGCAGTCCAAAGTGCCGTGTGTTTTTTCCTGTTGCTCCATTTTTCTATTGCAGCGTTCAAAATTGGTGGGCATTGAGGTAGAAATCGTACCCCTGGGTCAAGCTGAACCAATTAAAATAGTAAAAAGCTAGTGATTCACAATAGAAGATTGCTGGTATGACGTTAGAAATCTGTTAGCTGAAGCATTGCTTTGGGCAAACTGTCTAGACTATGGATTAAAGTTAGTAGTAGTTAAGTCTTTTGAGTCTTACTAGTTAGTAGTGCTCAATCGTGTGTGTGACGCTTATTCAAAGAAAAATGAAATCATGTACAACCAGAAAGTTTAAGTCAAAACCATGCACTACCACTTTTTTTTTTTTTTCTCTGAGCACGCTATAGATCCATTTTTTCTGCAAAGAAAAGTAAAGAGGACAATATATCAGGGAGGGTACGCGCCAGTTACGTTATATATTGTTAAGTCTTGTTGACGACTAAATGTGGACTTTGATAGTAAAGTGATGATTTCTCTGTTCTAATTGACCGGATTACTAATTATTTGATCCATTTGGATTAATTCAGCTAAATCATGCATGAAGACAACGGAATACGCAGACAGGCAAGCAGCTTATCTTCTCAGAGTGTCAAGGGCCAGCCATCTTCCTGAGGAGCAGGGAAATTATCATGAAGTAATTCAGGAAGAACTGATGCAAGGCAAGTCTGGGAAGGAATCAATGATACGTGAATCTCGCATGGAGAAGTTCGGATGGCACACAGACAAGCTAATAAGGTATATGCCGGTTACTGACTGATGGACGACCTAGTCTCTTAAAACTATCCGTGCCAGTTCCTGAAACCGTCCAGGCTGATTCTCACTGGGCGCTGCACCCTCTGCAGGTGCACCATGTTAGTTGATCTCCACCAATAGGCCCAACGGCCTATTGGGCCCTTATTTCTGCTCCCTGATCGGGGGAGCCCAACCCTAATCCGGTTGGTGGGTCCCTGTCGCACAGCACACATAAAAGAAAGGCGGGGGTGAGGGCTCGAATGACGAGGTTCAACGGAGCCGCACCCACCTACAGAGAATCCCTAATCCGATCCTAAAGCGTCTTTGCCGGCTGACAGGATGAGCCCGCCACCACCACCGCCGTCGCCTATGCAGGGACACCGGCTTGGCGCCATCTGGATTGGGTCTCCGCCGCCACCACTGTACCTCGCCATCGAGTCGAGCTGCCTCACATCCTTTGGCGTCCGCGCATTGCATTCAGTGCGGCATCGGCGTCCACGCTGCTGCTACGGTGTAGCTCCCCAAGGTCGAGGAGCCTAACTACGGATCTACGGTTTACACACAGAGGTACCAATCCTACGATCCTAACAATGGTACCAGAGCCAGGTTACAAGTGTGTAACCCTAACCCTAACCGGGTAAAAGAAGAAAGAAAATTCACCGCCACCGCGCGGGGGGAAAGATGGCCGCACCGCTGTTCTACACCGGCGCACGGCAAGAACAGAAAAGAACCGAACACTCCCTAATCCTAACCCTAATTGGGTTAAAGGAAGGGGGAAAAGAAAGGTTTCGGCCTTAAGACGAACAGAGCCGAACCATAAATCCAAAAGAGAAAAGAAATAAAAGAAAAGAAAGAAAAATCCAAAGAAAGAAGAAAAGAAGGGTCGGAACCCTAACCCTAACCCTAGTTTCCCATTCTGATGAAAGCAAAAGAAAAGAAAGAAAAGACAAAACAGAAAAGATGACAGGTCGGATTCCGAACCCTAGATCTATAACCAGTTCGGAAAAGAGGAACAAGATTCAAATCCGAAAGGGGAAGGGGAAAAGAACAGGGTCGGCACACGAACCATAACCCTAACCCTATTCCCCACATCAGTTCGGATGAGAGAAGAACCAAATCGAAAAGAAATAGGGGAATGAAAAAGGGAAGGGAGAAGAAACCCACCCGAACCGGCCCTTCGCCGGCGCGGGAGAAGAAGAGCGAGGCCAAAAGGGGGCCGCGGCCAGGCCGCTCGACGGCGGCGAGGGGGCCGGCGGCGGCGCCATGGATGCCCGCTCGCTCGCTGCTCGCTCGGTTGCGCTCGCCTTGCTGCTGTGTGAGGTAGAGAGAGGAGAGAGCGGCGAAGAAGAGAGAGAAAGCAAACGGCAAAATGAGCTAGGGTTCCGGGACTCACAGCCGCGGCGACGGCTGTTATACCGCTCGATCTCGCCGCTTGGTCGTAGGATGCAGACGGACGGCGCAGATTCTCCGGGCCGGCTTTCAGCCCAGGCGGGTGCGCACGCCAAAGCCAAATTCGCCCCAGCCCCAAAGTTGCGGCGGGGGTAGCGAGAGAAGCGAGGAAGCGCCCACGCGGGCGTGGGCCGTGGGCCGCCTTGCCGTTTTGGGCCGAAAGAGTAGTACAGAAAAGAATGAGTTTTTTTTCTATTTCCAGCAAATATTTATTTCTGGAAAATGAAAAATAGCTCAAAAGGAGAAATAGAAAAAGTAATTTTTCCCTGTGGGAAAATTCAAGAAATTGAGAATATTTTTTCCACTGTTAAAGAAAAAGTATATTCTCCAGTGTTTTTGAACCGACATGATATTTAACTGGAGAAAAGGAAGGTTTTTCCAGTAAATGTTTATTTCCTGGAAATTGATTAATGGATTAAAGAAAATAGAAAAAACAATTTCCCCTATGGGTAAAATTCAAGAAAAAGAGAGTTTTTCCACAGCCAAAGAAAAGTTGTTTATACTCCAGTTATTTTGAACCAATGTGGTATTTAATTGGAGAAAAAGAGATTTTTTCCGCTGCTAAAGAAAATGTTGATTCTCCAATTATTTTGAACCAATGTGGTATTTAATTGGAGAAAAAGAGTTTTGACATGATTATGATGTTGTTATTTTTTTGACCAACGTTGTTAATAACAATATCGTAATGCTAATGATTTATGCATTAATTCTACTTCTGTCCAACGGTGATGTAGAATTAGTGTATAAGAAAAGTTGATAATGTTAATGATTTATGCATTATTTCTACTTACCAACGGTGATGTAGAATTAGTGTATAAGAAAAGTTGATAAAGTTAAAGATTTATGCATTAATTCTATTTACATTCCAACGGTGATGTAGAATTAGTGTATAAGAATAATTGTATGTTTTGTTTTTTATCAATGTTGGAATCAAGGCATGCAAATGGTGTTATTTTTATGTTAAGAAAAGTTTTGATCTGGTTTTCATCTTGTCTAAGGTGGATGTGTAGTCACCTCACCGTGTTCCACCGAGTTTGTGGCACCGTGTGGGGAGAAAAGAGAATGATGCCACTTGGGCAACTAAAGAAAGGGATTTTGAATCTCAAAAGATATCCCTACGACTCTTTGGGCATAGGAAATGAATCACTACCAACACGAAAAAGTTTGGCTATTATAAAGAACATGATTGAACCCGCAATTGTGGGCTCAATTCGAGAATGTGACACGGTCATCGAGTACCTTGATAGAATAAAGAGTCACCCTTTGGCTCTTTAAAGACATATTCCACTTAGGCGATAAAGCGTACTGGTCACAGAGTGTTAATCTGGAA